AAGTTGCCAAGCTGCGAGGCCCCGCCGTGCTGACAGCATTTCCTCCACAGGTGCGTGGCACGGGACATGAAGAGGAGGGCAACGTCGTCATGAGGAAGAGGGGGGGAGGGGGGCAAGGGAGAGGGGCATCCCAGGATTTCGGCTCAACTAGACCGGACCTGAAGTGCACATCAGCGACAATCATTGCAGCAGTGGTGGTGTGGGTGTTGGTGTGGCAAGCTGCAATGGCACACCTTCGGGAGAGGACAATTCGATCTTTTTATCTCGCGCACAAACACTGGGAGGCAGCCCGGCAGACCAGGGTGGGCCAAGCAGTTGGGTGTCGACCATTCGGGCACTTTTTCGTGAAGTCTCGAGTGGTGTCAAGCTCTGCTCTCTCTCCCTCTGCAGCTTTTACTGTTTTCGAAGCCTCTCTAGCGTGGAGTGTCGAATTGAGGTGCTTGCTGAACGGTGCATGGTCCGAGCTGGGCCAGGCCAGGGCTACTGGAAATATGATGGTCACATCAAAGTTCGCGGGCGATCCGCCCTTGTCCATGCAGACAAGCGACGACCCCATTTGTGATGGCCCGGGATCCATTGGCAGCGTGGGCATTATTCAGATACAAGAGACCGAGTCACGGGCGTAGCACCGCAGTTTGGCGAGTGACGAACATTGCGGTTCCGCATTGCCGTGGTCTTGGACGGGAAAAGCACTGGAACACACGATAGAGCCGTAGCCAGCTTAGCACCTGAGATTGAGCTTGGGACAGGACCCTGAGGAAGCTTTGGCTCGAGCCAGCACATGGTTGACGACGGCCGCTTTGTGTGGCCAGAAAGGAATGGTGAGTAGCGTGTCTCGGTGAGTGGATCATCCTCTGGACTCGCGAGGGGAGAATACTCCCAAGATGGTAATGGCACACCATCGGCCGTTGCTGACCGAGGTGACCTTCTTCTCAAGCGTCAGGTGGTAAGGTGACGAGGGCGGAGGTGGTGGTGTTGGTGGTGTTGGTGGTGATGATGACTGATGTGATCGCCACGGGATGCTGGAAAAGGCCGCTGGCAGGGGCTCCTGGTCGTGTGGTCAATGGTCACTGCCCAGAACGGAATTTACACGATCCATGCCAGGGCCCCCGTCGATGGGGTGTGGACTTGGCGTCAAGTGGTCTGCACCTGCCCTGCACCTGCTGCCGCCGCTTGGTGCTGTAGAAGCTTGGGCCACTCCATGCTGCAGACCTCCTTTTCAATTGCCAGGTTGTGCTCACTAGGAAGGTACATGTACCTACCCAGGCTTGCGAGGTAATGCAGGTAGGTACCTGCCTCCTCTGTGGTCGTCTGGGCAGCAGCTGGCGTTGCTGGCGCTGCCGGCCACGTTGGTGCGGTGCTAGCAATAGCGGGTCGCCTTTGACTTCCGCCTGCCGAGCTCTAGTGCGTGAGCTGCCCGTCTCAAGAGTGAGCACATGAGCAGCCCACAGCTGCGGGTCCCTGCAAGAACACCCAAATCACAGTCGCCTTCGCTGAACAGCTGTTTAATAGTTGAAGCTTTGATTCATGCATTGGCTGCCCATGCCGCAAATTCCATGCCATTTGAGCATGTCTTGCCTCATCGAGTCGCTTCATTGCTTGGATCCTCCAAGGCTTGTTTGAGATAACTATCCACAGCGGTGTGTTGGTCTCCCGATTTGGAAGTATCTAGGTAGGTACGGACAGGGCAGTTACGTTCGTACGAGTGTTGCCGTCACATCTCACCCAAGACGAGGAAGCTAGGAATCTGGAAGTCACCGCCGGCCCTGTGGGGCTCCGCCATCGCACATCACCCATCACACCTCACCACATTTCACTCCTCCATCGTACCTCCCCGTTCGTTTGGCTCGGGCATGTCTTTGGCTCCTAGCTGTACGACCCCCGGCCATCGATTATCTGTCACCGGCAGTCTGGGCCTGGGACTGGATCTTAGGCTGCCCTGAGAGCCAGGCCCCGGCTCCGGCCCCGAGCCCCGGCCCTTGGTGCTTGACCTTGACCTTGACCTGCCGCCTTCCTCCGCTTGTTGGTAGGTACATTACCCAAAAGGCCGTGTCGATCAGTCCTTTGTTCGCTGGAACCTCAGGAGGTACCCGAGTACCTCCCTGGCTGGCTCATTAATTTACCTCGTGTGCTATTCGCTGGTCTCTGATCTTGGCCCTCTCTTTTCTCTCTTTCTCTTCTCTTTCTCTCTCTGTGTGTGTACGTGCGTGTGTGTGTCAAAACCTGGACATCATTGGGCTCATCAGTCGAGTGGCCTTTGGTGGAAGACTGAGCTCAAGACCCGACCGACTAAACATCGAAGATTCCTTCACCGAAAGAGAAGCAAAAAGATGCGTATGAAAAAAAACTCCCTGGGTTCGTGTCGAAGAGCCCCTTTACTCTGTTGCCGGACTGGTCTCGGCCTCTCTGTCAGCTGGTATAATTAGGTACGCAACATAATGGCTGGCCCGTTGCAAGTCCGCATCTCGGGCCCAAAATACGCGCCCCAGTTTCCACATTTTGGTGTCCACCTCAGTGTCAACCTCCGCTGTTCACCTGACCTGACCAGGCCGTATCCCCCGGTAACCCACACACCTGAGTTACATGGTACATCGACCTCGCGACACCCCCCCTTCTCCTACTCTGCCACCCCTCCTCTGCCCCTCTTCACGGTGTCCGCCCTCTTAACACCTCGGCCATGGGGCCACGCAGCCACGGTACCCTGCTGCACCTCACCAATCTGTAGCGCCCATCCACTGAAAATCAAGTGTCTCTCGATATCTACATGGTACATGGCACACGGGTATGCCATAACCTCATTACTTCCAAGCGGAAGGTCCCTCGCCCACGCACGGAAGTAGCTGAATAGACAAAGACGCAGCATCTGCCAGATTGCCAAGTCAATACCCCCTTCAGGCTGTCTCGCATATTCCTTTGATATTCTCTACTGCCGTCATTTGACATTGGCCATCTCGTCGTGTACCCGCATCGCACGTCGCCTTGCCTCACATCACCTCACACGCCCTGAACCCTACGTTCTACCTACTGCCCCGCGGCGCCTGTACGACATAAGGTAGCCCGACACACAGACATCCCGGAGACCCAAAGCAAGCACACGGCCCCTCCAATACCAGGCGCCTGCCTGCTGCTTCTACCTACCCTACCTTACCTTGCCTGCCATATTACCTAGGTTGGTACCTTACCTGCCTTACCTACCGACCAGGGCCCTCCCTCTTCTTGTCTTGTCTGTCTACCTTATCTGACATCATTCGCGCGTCCCTCTCTCTCCTGCTCTTCTTTTCCCCTCCCCCTCCTCCTCACTCGTCCTCTCCCGCCTTGCCAACGCCGCCTTAGCGCTCCAGTCGTGATCCCAGTACGACAAGACTCGAATCGAGCCTCGACCTCTCCGTTTCGACTTGACACGATCGACGAACCTTAGACGCATCTTCTTGCCAGCCGATTCAGCTTCAGTGCGTGCCTCGCCTGCATCGTCGTTCCTGGAGCCTCTCTCGAATCTCGCCAAAAAAAAAAAAAAAAGACAAAAAGCCTCCCCACCCAATCTGTCCCTGTCAGCCGTTCTCGTCTCCTGAGCACAACCCCGATCACTAGGTCCCTAGGTACACTACCACCATCCGCCAGGTGACCTACCTACCTTACCCACCCCTGACCGGCTGCAGCAGCCAGGCCAGACAAGACGTCTCTCGACCAAGCCTAACGCCGTCACCTCGTTCGGTCCTTAGCCTCTCCTGCCGTGTGGCCCGCAACACTGTGACCACCACCTAAAGGTGCCTCCGCCCACGCCTACGCCCCAAGGTACCTACAATAGCTTTGCGCCCACCTAAGCATTTTCCTGACAGGGTGAGCCTGCCCATCCATGAGCCTGTAAAGCCTCGAGATCGCCCCCTCCCCTTCCACACACCCACCTTACCACGCCCCCCCCGGCTGCCCCTCTTCAAGTACCTCTCTCTCGTCTTTTCGATTCCTCAATTCAATTCCACACGACCTCTTCCCTGCCCTCCCAAGCTGTCCATCCAAACCCTCTCTCCAGCTTTCCCAATCCTCCAGAACTACTTGCCTCCGGCACCCCATCATCATTCCGAGTCGTCGTCTTTTTTTCTAAACGCCTTCTCTACCTGCCGACCTACTGACACTGCGCGGATCCTCCCAGCCCCCCTACCAGCTCTCAGCCTCTAGCCCGCTCGTCTCTCCCACCTCAACGACCGAGACTCAATTCGGTGCTCCCTGCACCCATCTCAGCTCACGCGAAACTCTCTCGATTTTTCGTCAGCACACACCGTGAGCACCGTCTTCGGTCCGTCCCTCACGTCAGTATCATCATCTGCCGTTCGATCCATCTCTCAACCCGCTCGAATCGACCACGAGCTTTGTCGCTGAGCTGTCTCCGCCTGGTGAGTTGAACTTTACTTCACTTTTGATTTCCACCAGCCTTTACCCCTCTCTCTCTGTCTCTCTCTCTCTCTCCCAACCCCCAGTGCGACCGACTACTGGGACGTGCCCGCGCCTACCTACCTCACGATCCCCTCGCGAACACCCCCTTCTCCTGTTCCTCCTGCTTAATCGCTGTGCGTTTTTGCCTTTGCGACCGTTCATACAGTCGCCTTGAGCTTGTGCCGCCCAGCCAGTCGGCCCTTACGGAAATGGCGAGTTCAACGAAGCGCCATTCTATCACCGGGCTACAAATTCCTCTGCCACCCACCTGCACAGCCGCGATGGTACCCAGCCACGGCAGCTGACGGACTCCCCTCTTTCCCGCCTGGCTTGGAACGCTTCTGGTCCCTGGTATCAGAGTCATCCTGATCTCTCCAAATCGGCATCACGAAGTCAACCTGTCGACCCCGTTCCGCTTGGTCGCTGCCCTACCCCGTGTCTCCTCCCGCCCCCCCTTATACCCCGCGTCATCCTCGTCAATCACAACGCCCTGGATCTGCCTCCTATGCATTCTTTGCCGCAACAGACCTTTGATCGTCTCGCAGAATATGGATCACTAATGCATCCACATAGTCCTCCTTTCAATCCATCGTACGCCAGACGCAGACTCTCCGATTCAATTCAACGTGTTGCCGCCAGATCGCTGCGCCTTGTCATCGAGCCTTTAACCCAGGCCGCCCCCTCCACAACCGCCCAACACGGCTACCCCGCGCTTCTCAGCTCTTTTTCTTCCCTTCCGCTGCCCAATTCGCCTCGCGGCTCGCGACCATCAACGATAGCATCACCACCGCGTAGTTTGGTGGCCTCTCTGCAACATGTCCTCGAATCGCCCAAACGCCCTGCACAACCTCAGGATGGGGGGTAAGATTTCAAGTGTCTTCTACGTCGAATACCGTGGATTAACAGCGCGCCGCAGAGGTCATTCGCGAAAAGGTGCAAGACGGTGTCACTGGTGAGACCAGGGATCTGCAGTATACCCAGTGCAAGATTGTCGGCAACGGTTCCTTCGGCGTTGTCTTCCAGACGAAGCTCTCCCCATCCGGGGAGGACGCTGCCATCAAGCGCGTTCTTCAAAGACAAGAGATTCAAGGTCCGTGGACAGCTGCTGCCAAAGCCTTAGCGGGTGGGTACGCTAACACTGGTGATCGTAGAACCGAGAGCTGCAAATCATGCGCATTGTTCGTCATCCCAATATTGTGCAGCTCAAGGCTTTTTACTACTCGAACGGCGAGCGCGTAAGAACAGCCCACTTAACCACCTTTACATCCAGGGCATTGACTGACGTTACGGTTTCAGAAAGACGAGGTGTACCTGAACCTCGTTCAAGAATTCGTGCCTGAGACGGTCTACCGTGCTTCCCGTTTCTTCAACAAGATGAAGACGACCATGCCCAACCTCGAGGTCAAGCTCTATATTTACCAGCTCTTCCGCGCCTTGGCCTACATCCACTCTCAAGGCATCTGCCACCGCGATATCAAACCCCAAAACCTGCTGCTGGATCCTACTTCTGGTATCCTAAAGCTGTGCGACTTTGGCAGCGCAAAGATCCTGGTGGAGAACGAGCCTAACGTGTCATACATCTGCTCCCGCTACTACCGCGCCCCCGAGCTCATCTTTGGTGCCACCAACTACACCACCAAGATTGGTATGACTACCAATATTTTTTCATGTGCAGCTCCAGGCTCACTGTACTAACGCGCACAATAGATGTTTGGTCAACTGGCTGCGTCATGGCGGAGCTCATGCTTGGACAACCACTTTTCCCAGGCGAGTCGGGCATTGACCAGCTGGTAGAGATCATCAAGGTTCTGGGAACGCCCACGAGGGAGCAGATCCGCACGATGAACCCAAACTATATGGAGCACAAGTTCCCGCAGATCAAGCCCCATCCCTTTGCCAAGGTGTTCCGAAAGGCCGACGCTCACGCCATCGACCTGATTGCCCGTCTCCTTGAATACACGCCTACAGAGAGGCAAAGCGCCGTCGATGCCATGGTGCATCCATTCTTCGACGAGTTGAGGGACCCCAACACTAAGCTGCCCGATTCGCGGCACCAGACCGGCACGGTGCGGGACCTGCCTCCTCTGTTCGACTTCACTCGTCACGGTAAGCTTTTTTTATGAGTCGCAATATTTCGTGGTTCGGATCAACTAACCGTCGAATGCAGAACTCTCGATCCGACCGGACCTCAACGCTCAACTGGTGCCGGCTCACATCCGACCTATCCTTGTTTCCAAGGGTCTCGATATCGATTCGTTCACACCATTGACGAAGCAGGAGATGCTCGCCAAACTGGACTGAAGCAAGCACAGGCCATCTATGAGACGTTGCACTACCACATACCCGCCTACGGGCCGTTTGTGGTCACGGCCCGGGGTGATCTGCTAGCCTACACACAAAACCTATTCAAGTCCACGCCCAGCAGCAGTAGCACGACACCCCCCAGCAAAGTCGGGCCACATGATGATTAGATACGATGAGGATGACCTCTAGAAGCAGGTTGGCGTCAGACGCTTGAGGAATATGAAACTGGTCGGCGTGGAGAGTATGCAAAATGGATGGGGCACAAGCGTGGTCTGGGTATTGCTGCGGTTTGAATCCCGCTACAAAAAGAGAGACCGGGCCGAAGAAGGAGACTCGATTGTTGAGAGCACCACTTGCTCGCCACGGGAAGGCTGCATTGCTGCATACCCAAAGGGAATCAGGGATTAGACCACATGTTGATGCATGACTGAGATGGTTGGCTGGCTGCTGCTCTGTTGTTTACCCGCGTTACAAGTAAAAATGGGCTTCATTGCCTTCCCCGCCGCGTACGGTATGGCACAATCAATGTACGGTCTTGGTCTGGATGGCTTGGCTTGTTGTTTCTCCATACTCGATCAACTGCACGTCATTGCTAGTGTTTACGACCTGCTGGCCAGGGCAGGCTTCTCACTTCATTCGTTCGTTTCAGCAACGGCTTGTTCAGGAATCGCTTATGTGAATTGAAAAAAGTCTCTCGCACATATTGGCGCTACATCTGTACATCTGTGATGTCTGCGAACGTATCATTGGGTACCTAACTAGGTAGGTAGGTATTTGGCCTAAGTGAGCACTTCTATGTGACCCATTTTTTGTGACCAATCATGCAGGGCAAAGCAGGTACCGACACTGAGACACGCTAGGAAGCAACGACTCGAGCTCCAGCTCAATTCGCTACTGCAAGAGCAATCGCGACAAGACCTTTTGGCCTATTCACCCACCTGCCTGCCCTATCCCCTCCCGGTCGCACGACTCTCCCACATCTCTTCAACGACACCGCCTACACCAATCTGCAACATATCGACTCGTATCAACTCCAACGAAACGCCTACTTCTTCGAAACAGTCTCGCAATGGGTGATTATGACCGGCGACGCAATGGGGGTGGCGGTGGTGGCGGCGGGCACAATCGCAAACGCCGCTACCGCGAGGACGACGAGCAAGATTATCGCCAACAACGCCGACGCCACGAACCCCCTCCGCTCCCTGTCAGAATTCGCAAGCAGCTCCTCAACATAGCGGAGTCGCCTCTGCGTCGATGGCACGAGGAGGTCCAGTCCATTGCCCATATTGTGGCCGACAATGTAGATGACACGGAACTGCGCGAAAACTTTATCGACTTGGTGCTCCAGCTTGCCGTTGAGCAGCCCTTGAAGACTCCATTCACCGCCGCGGTCATCCTGTTCATCAATACACTACGCCCAGAAATTGTGGAGGATATCCTGGGCAGACTCAGCATCGCCACGGAGACGAAGATCAGAGAAGGCCACTGGAGGGATGCCAAGCTGCTGCTCAAGCTTTTTGCCTGCCTGCAGAGCTGCTTGGGGGGCGATGGAATTTTCCCCATCCTAGAGGAACTGCTTGGGCGAGCGCTGGATCTGCAGACTGCCAGCTCGGAAGACGTAAGTTTTCTTTTTCCGCATTGCGTCGAGGAAGGTGCATTGGCTGACGATGACAGACGATTGGCACCGAGCTCGTCAAAATCATCCTTCTCACGATTCCATACATCATGGCCGCACACCCAGAGCAGTGGCAGCACAAGGCTGCTCAGCTCATGGGTAGCACCGAGATCATTGCTTCTGAGCCGCACCCACTCCAAGCCTTGATTGACCCGTTCCTTCCCGAGGCGGAGGGTGCGGCCACGGGCTCCGCAAGCATCATCAGCCTGTTGCAGCGCCAGCTTCAATCCGAGGCTTCTGATGGGTGGAAACTGGCTTGCCTGCCTCGGCCGTGGGAGATGCCTCTGGAGGAGATTGAGGCCATGGAGAAGCTCGAGAACGCCACGAAGCACGACCTGCCAGTCATTACTGTTCCCGAAAAGGTCATTGCTGGGCCACAGCCTCTCTTTCCCGAAGTGCACTTTTCCGTCTATGCCGATCAAGACATTCCTTCCGTGCCGCCTATCACCGACATTGCCTCTTCTCTGATCCGAGATGCGCTCGTGGACACGATCAACATTCTTGACTTCAACCGCAATGCCACGGCTAGGTTCTTGGTCGATGTCGACTGCTACTTTTCGGATTCCACGTTTGTGAAGCGTGCCACACCGTTCGACCGACTGCGAGACATTCCTTCTGGAAGATCCACGTGGAAGCCAGAGGATGTCGCCGTGGACGCCGTTTTCTCTCAGCTGCACCAATTGCCCGCAGCGGAGCACAAGCTCGTTTATTATCACAGCGTCCTCACCGAGGCGTGCAAGCAGGCTCCCGCCGCTATCGCGCCGAGTCTGGGCCGTGCCATCCGCTTTCTGTATCACGCCCAGAGCCAGATGGACTTGGAACTGAGCTACAGGTTCCTTGACTGGTTCGCGCACCACCTGAGCAACTTTGGCTTCACGTGGAAATGGACCGAATGGGTCAATGACGTGTTCTTGCCTGATATTCACCCGTCCAAGGCGTTCATCAGAGGTGCCCTTGACAAGGAAATCAGATTGAGCTTTGCTCAGCGCATCAAGAACACGCTTCCCGAAGAATACCAGAGCTTGATCTCACCTGACACGGAGAAGGACGTCCCCGACTTCAAGTTCTCTGACGAGAGTGAGTAGCCAGGTGGCGACGTATCCCCCGTTAAACCGGAGATCGCTAACGAGTTCGCAGCCACGCCGTTCTCTGCCGAGGGCCGGGAGCTAGCGGCACTCCTCAAGCGCAAGGTGCCTGACGAGGATTTCCAACCCGTGCTCGACCGAATCCACGCGGCCGCGACGGAGCATAGCTTGGACGCGCTGGTCACCAGCACAGATGTGTTTGTCACGGCTGTCTGCTGGGTCGGCTCCAAATCCCTGAGCCACGTGCTGGCTTGCATTGAGCGTGTTAAGGACCGCTTATTGGACATTGGTGCCGCGTCGGAAGCGGCTCGCGCGCAGATCATCACGGCCGTCATGGCATACTGGCGAGCACAACCGGGCGTTGCCATTTCAATCATCGAGAAGCTGCTCAACTACTCCATCTTGACGCCCTTGTCGGTTATTGAATGGTCGCTCGTGTACAACCACAGCGAGCGCGAGGGCGATGCACTGGCCGAGGCGCATGTTTTCGAGCTCGTGTCCAACACGGTGACCAAGGTGACGGGCCGCGTTCGTCAGATCATGACTGCTCCGGAACTCGATGCGGATGCTGAGGCAAGCAAGGAGCTCGACAAGAAAGCCATGAGAGACTTGTTCTCATCGCTCAAAGATGCTCTGTCAAGCTGGAAGGCGGGAATCAAGGATGAAATGTTGGACGAGCCCGACAGTGAAGAGCGCAAGGCTCATCTTCAGCGCTGGGGCGCGCGCTGGCTGCGTGTGTTTGAGCGCAAGTCAGCCATCGAAGAGGCATTCTTGTTGGACGTGAAGAACGCAGTCCAGAATCTGTGCGAGTAGCCAGTCGAGACGGTCCCGGTTGAAGATGGCAACGAATAATCCAGAGGCACTTGGTGTAGGAGGGAGGTTTCTCGATTGGCAAGCGAAGTATGCGCATGCTAGGACCTGGAGCCGGGTAAAATTTGTACGTTTGCTATGTACGATGAGGTATTGAGCTAGACTGGTAGCTATCCGAATTTTGCTCAGGTCAATAGTCTCAGGTGAGAGATTGACATGGATGAGGCATACATGCTGTGATGAACTGGACCACAAGCGATGATGAGCCAGGGTGAAAAAGGGCGGGGCATCCTCAGCCTTGCCACTCAGTCGGCGCTGTGATTGGACACCAATTCACTGGTGGGGGTGGAGATGGCTGCAAGGCTGACGACAATTTTCTTCAAAAAAGATCCAGATCCCTTCTGCATTGAGATACCCACCCAAGCATCCAGCAGACGACACGACCAACAACGTTCGCTGCCCACTCGCCCAAATTGACACACTCGAATCAGAGCCGCGCTATCTGCAGAATCTCGAAGTCAAGAACAAGCCACCCACACGCTTCCAGGCCCCTGCGCATCCGGACATGGAGTCCACCGCGGCTCAGGTGAAGGTTAACTTCACCACCACCCATGAAGACCTACAGCTGCCTGAGAACAAGAGGCAACTTCTCGTGCCGTCCGGTCAGTGAATTTCTGACAAGAGAGGGCTGGAGGCGCACCTGAACTGACGAAAGCAGACATCAAGCGATATGGCCTCTCCCGCATTCTCAACTCGGAGTCTATGCTCAACACATCCGCCCCGGTCCCCCTCGACTTCCTTGTCAATGGCACGTTCCTCCGCACAACCCTCGAAGAGTACCTCCAGACCGAGGGACTGTCCTCCGAAACCACCGTCACGCTACAATACGTTCGCTCCCTGCTGCCGCCCACATACGAGGCCTCGTTCCAGCATGACGACTGGGTTGCCTCGGTCGATGTCCTCTCGGCCACCTCGGCCGCCGGCCGCTGGTCTGGCGACGACCTGATCCAGGGCCAGGACCGCATCCTCTCCGCCAGCTACGACGGTCTCGTCAGGATATGGGACGGGTCCGGCTCGGCGCTGGCCACCTCGGCGGCGGCGCGCGGTGGCGGTCACGCCAAGATGCTCACGTCGGCCAAGTTCCTGAGCGCGACACAGATCGCATCCGCCGGTCTCGACCAGAAGGTTGTCGTCTGGAAGTACACCGAGGCAGCGGACCGGCTGTCGGGCGAGCTCAAGCCGACGCTCGAGCTGCACGGGCACAAGCAGAAGATCAACAGCCTCGCGGCCCACGGCCCCTCGAAGCGGCTGCTGACGGCGTCCAACGACGGCACCGTCGGCCTCTGGCTCGCGTCGAAGAAGGCCGCCGACGCCGACGCCGAGGACATACCGGCAACGCACACGGCCAAGCGCGCGCGCGTCGCCTCGTCGGTGACGGTGCCGCAGAAGGCGCCGCTCGCGCTCATCGCCGCGCACGGCGACGCCGCGGCGACGGCGGCCGCCTTCCACCCGACGGACGCGACGGTCGCCTACTCGGCGTCGACCGACCACACGCTCCGCACGCTCGACCTGACGACGGCGCGCGTCGTGTCGACGCTGACGACGCTGCACCCGCTCCTCGCCCTCGCGCCG